AATAGGACCACATACATCAGAGTATATGAATTCAAGAATTGCCTTCGACTTGCTTCCTCCATCTTTGTTGAAGTTGTTCTTGTGGTGCTTCGCTTGTACACATTCCTCACACACTTCAGTTGGAATATCAATATCTGATAACCCTGAAACCATATTTCTTCTCTTTAGATATCTGATGTCTTTAAAGTTGAAATGACCAAGTCTGTATTGCCATATCTGTTCATCCCTGGTAGTTGTAGTTGCAAGGCACTTGTGCTAAATCATAATAAGTTCAACCCTGAAGGTTATATTCTGAGACATAGGTGCCTTCAAAATTAACCTACCACCTGAGTCGAGAACTCTCGTTATCTTGTCTTCAATCGACAATTTGTAGTTCTTTTCAACCAGCTACCCTATGTTGAGAAAATTACTTTTTATGTCTGGTATGTATAATACATTGGAAAATATTGACCTCTTTCCATCTTTCCTCATAATCAGAACATCGCCAATACCTTCGGCTACTAGAGTATTTCCATTTGCAAATTTTACCATGTTCTTCATTGAGGTTTTTATGTAGACAAATCAATCCTTCCTACCAGTCATGTATGATGAGCATCCTGAGTCCAAGTACCATTGGTCCTAGAATTTTTCTTCATCTCTTGTTGTGATCATCAAGAACATATCTTCTTCTTCATGCTTTGCCAGCTTTGCATCATTGTCTTGATTCTTTTTTTTTCCAGGACAATCACTAGAGTAATGACCATATTTATAACAATTGAAATACTGAATGTGACATTTGTTAGGTTTTCGAACACCGCCTCTTCCTTTAACCGTAGCACCACCTATTTGATTGCTTTGGTGTGAGGTATTTCTTTAATTCGACCAACATCCTTCTTGCTGATTTCGACTAGTCGAATTATTGTAGCCTCCTCTTCCTTTGTAGTCGAACCACTTCCCTTTTCCTTTCTTTTCTCTTGTTGATTGCGCCTGCAAAACCATATCACCTTTCAACTTGCTTGCAGCTCTTTCAGTCATTATTTGTTCATGAGATTTAAGCGTCTGTTGAAGCTCTTCCTTTGTCATTGTTGACAAATATTTTGGATCTTCTGTGACGACTACCACGTGGTCGAACTTTGGAGTCAATGACCTCAAATCTTTTTAACAACTGATATTGATGTCAACAGTTCTCCACATACCTTGGTTTGATTCACCAATTTTGTAACGCTAGTAAAAAAATCGGTTATGCTTTCATTGTCTTCCATCTAAAGTAATTCATACGTTCTTTTGTGAGTTTGTAACCTCACATTTTTCACATTCTCAGCACCTCCAAATGATTTCTCCAAAATTTCCCATGCTTCTTTTGAAGATTCTACATCACTGACCTTTTCAAAATTGTCTAGATCAACACATTGATGAATTATAAAGAAAGCTTTATAATCTTTCTTCTTCAATTCTTTATGTGCAACCCTTTCTTCATCTATCGCATTTTTTGAAAGTGATATCACTCCCTCTTTCACAAGATTCCAAAGATCTTGATAACAAAAAACAAGTTTCATCTATTTACACCAATTCTCATAATTATGACCCTTCAGAATTGGGAAACTCGTCGGAAAATATACATTAAGATGATTCATTGTCGTCATGTTTTGCTTCCCACTAATTGCTCAGCCAGTGCTCTAGATACCAGATGTTGGGAATATGCCAATTTCTGTTAAAGAGTTTTACCATAACTTGATGAATTCTTGAAGCAAATCGTGATGAACAAGAATAAATCTTTCTGATTGATTATTACTCTTGTTCTTCACTATTCACTCGAGTGAATCAACCACTCTTGGTTGTAAAATTTCGCTGCACAATATTAATGAAATAAGAAAATAAAATTGAGTTAAGAAGAAGAAGTTATGGTTTCAATGTGAGAGGGAAGATAAGAGAAAGAATTGTGAATTCTGTAGAGTTTCTCTCTGCTTCTCAAACTGAGAAATATTATTCAACTGCGCAACTGCACTTCTGTTGTGTTACAATTCATAATAGGGTTTCTCTCTATTTATAGATATGGGTTTGCTTGCTCCTCAAGCAATGCCAAAAAATACCTAATTTTGCTAACACTACAAAATTCGACCTAAGTCGAAATTCCTGTCGAGGTACACTACTTCGATGTTTCGACACTTTATTGCTTCTGTCGAACAATAAGCTTCGACACAAAGAATTACAATTCAACAACTTATATGTCATTTTTTTACCATCTGAATTTATATATGTCATATTTTGCATATTGATTGTATGGTTTGATGCTCATCACATAACATAGTCCTTAACATTTATAAATCATTGTATTTATCTGAATAACCATAAACAAAACATAATCTGCATTATTCTGATAGATTACATAGATGCATCTCCGTAAATATTAAGCAGAGATACATCTCCAAAATAATAAACGCGTAAAATGGGTAATTCAGAGAAGGATGTATGAGGTGTGTTTTGAAATTATACAGAGACCCTAAGGTCTCTACGCCGGCCAAGCACCACCGGCGGGCAAACCGACAAGCCTCGGCAAGAAACATCGCCGGCCGGACCACCACAAAACCATCATCCGCGAAAACCGCTTCAAACCCCTAAAGGTGAGAAATTTCTCTTATCAATGACGGTTTTTCTTTGCTTTTTTAGGTGGAACAAACTGAAATAGAAGAAAGAAGTCACGAGAAATGACATGCAAGCGGAAGGGAGGAAAACAGAAAGCTCCAAAACGACATCCATTGTCGCCGCTGCTCTCCAGAAAGAAGAATGGGGGGTTTTTATGAACCCTAAATGGACCGTGAAGCATAATGCCCTTTTGATGGTTGACCTGACTTATTTTATGTTATTTATTTTACGTATTATATTATTATTGTTTATTATAACATTTTAATTGTTATTAGTTAGTTATCCCATTTTTTATAAAAAAAAAAATACAAACTAAAAAATATTAAATATAAACTTAAAAAATCATTTTAATTAGATCATTTTTTTAATCATTACATCCTCTTGATTAAACCATGCTATAAGATTTAAACTCTTTCTAATTGAGATTTTTTTTCGAAATTAAATCCACTTTTAAAATAGTTAATTTTTCTTTATTAAAACATCAACATTAAAAGCAAATTATTTTTATTAAGACATTAAAATAAGGGTAATGCTAACTTGTGCAAGTTAAGAGATAAATATAGTAAAAATTTATTGAAAATTGTGTATTAAAATTAATACAAAATTACAATTAATAAATTTACTGTTTTTTTCGATACAAATTTTCTATTTATAAATTTTTTAACATGTGCCATTGAGGCACAAGTTAACATTACCCTTAAAATAAAAAATAATTTTTAACAAAAACGAAAATTAAAACTCTTTTTCTTAAAAAAAAACTAAAGACTCTTTTTTATAATTAAAACTTAAAATTTTTTTTTCTTAACAACTTAAAATTTTTTTTATAATTAAAACTTAAAATTTATTTTTCTTAAAACTTAAAATTTTTTTTTATAATTAAAACTTAAGATTTTCTTTTATAATTAAAGCTTAAAATTTCTTTCTCAAATTCTGTCTTTCTTAAATTTCTAGCATGAAAAGAGGTAAAATTTCCGATTAAATTTCCGCTTCGGTTTTTACATCATTCCTAGCACTAATTTTCACTTGTACAGTTAATAATTCCCCGTACTTTTTGTTTTTTTATTTTATTTTTGGTTGTAATTATGCGAGGCTATCGTCGCAGTTATTATTCTCGTTTTTATTTCCGGTTTGTAATTTATGTCAGACTATCGTCGCAATTTGTTCCGCACCGTTTTTACGCTTTCTTGTATTTCAATTATGCCATCTAATTCATCATTTGCACTATTCACTGTTAACGTCCTTTCGAAGGATTAGGTCTAGTCGTTTGACCGCCGAGTCAATAGTCTCCTCCTTTGGCATATTTCCAACCCTAATTTGCCTAGGCGTCCCGCCGCGGACTGAAATACCCTTTACCCTAGCGTTAGGTTAAGGAGTCGCCGCACTCCATCTTAGGTTTCCCGTCGTGGTATACCTCTTTTACCCTTTTCAATTTAATTAAATTTCAACTTAGAAATAGGAGTCGCCGAACTCCATGTAAGCGCTTCCTTAAGAAACACTTATTCCCCATTGAAACCTTGACCACAGTCAAGAAGTTTCTAACCTCCCTTTCGAGTGGAACTACGATTACTTTGATTCCATCCCCTATCTCGGATACGTAGGCACAAGATGCGAATCTTGTGCCTAAAACCTAAGACTAACCCTTAGGTCTCTCTTTCACCTTTAACCCTTAGCATATAGCCTAAAGTAGATAATTAAGCAAAATAGTAAACTTTAAACAATAGGTTCTTGTAGAGTACTATAGAAGTTTAAGGTGCTAATACATTTCCTAGGCTTAACCAACCCCTTACCTAGATCTCTCCCCGCATTGTTTACAATGCAAAAAGTAGATTTTTCCTTTCTCTGACCTTTCCTTCGGATAAATTAAAAACCAACTGTGAATTAAAGATTTGCGATTCAAATTAATTAATAATTTAATATCCTATTCTCACCGCAAGAAGATGCATCTTCGAGTCAATTAATATTTTGACTTAAAACAAAATGCATTCAAAAATACATCTCTAAAATCTAAAAGTCATTTTGAGATTTCGGTAGAATATTTTTTAACGATGAATAAGAAATTCACTCAATGATAAAAAAAAACACTTTTTTTTTTAAATTGTAAATTTTAAAAACAAAAGTCATCCATCTTTTATTTTGTGAATGTATTGGTGTTAAAATTGTATCTTAAAATACAATTATTTAAAAGAAAAATTGTATTTTAAGTAGTAGTAACTTTTTAGTTCATTTTTAGGCGATGTGATGAAGAGGGAACGTGAAACTCTGTCTTTCCTTCCTCCAACAACCTCTAAAATGGACCAAACAACCTAATTATTAATCCGATCTAAAGTAAAACATGTTTTAACAATTGTTGAGTTCACTGTTTCTTACATCACAAAGAAATGGCTTTCAGAGCCAGTGGAACACTCATTTTGGCTTCTCTCATTTGGATTTTCTTCCTCTGTGCAACCATTGCATTCTTTCAGCTCAAATTGGTTGACAACACAACCCATCAACCGCCTTCTCAAGATAAGGTAATCACAACTCTAAATCATCATCAACCAGTAAGTTTATTCACGGGTCTTCTTCCTAAATCATCATAAGACATATATTAATTAACGTTTCTCAATGTTCTGAAGGATACCCTTTTGGAAGATGATTTGGAGGGTGTGACCCATAAAGTGTTTTTTGACATAGAGATCGATGGAAAATTATCCGGTATTATATACTGCTGTTGCTTCATTCTTTACAAAGTTTTGATTTTTAATTATTTTATTCTGTTGGGTCTTGGGAATTCATTTTTGGATGGTATGATTTGGAATTGTGATTGCAAATTAAGTGTGAAGAAGGGGTTTTAGATGAACACACTCTGATTTTAGGAGGTAATTCCTCTGGGAATGATCAATGATGCAAACCTTGTTGTTTGTGTGTGTGTTTTGATTGATGATAGAAGGATAATAAGGGCTATTTTATTCTGAAATTGAATTGAACATGATGGCAATGGACTTGTGTCATTTTGAGACTGAATGAGTGCAATTTGCAATTTGTTGTGTAGACCTATTTCAAACCAGTCTAATGACTAATGAAAATGTTTACAAACTAAGTGCATGTTTAAAATAGCCATGAATTTGGTAGAATCATGGTGCGAAATAACACTAACGCAAAAACTATACTTTTAAACTTCAACAAAATTACTCCGCACATGAATTGAGAAGTGATGGTGGGTGATCCACTGCCAATTCAAAGACACACGTCATTGCAGAACGGAACACACTAAGTTTGGCCAAGTTTTCAGCTTCTAAGAGAATGATTTATCTGACACAGGCTCATGCTCATAATATGCTGCCTATAAGTTTTGTTTGGGAGTTGGGAAGGAAAAGAAAATAAGCGTTGAGGGAAATTGAGGGAGAATGGAAGAAGGGAAGGAAAATTACCATTTTTATGTCGAAAACTATCTAATTTGGGCAAAGTTCAAACCACAATAGTCAATAGCGGCCAATAACGGCGCTATAGTTGGATAGTGGAGCGGAGGCTGACCACTATGGAAAGTGTCTTAGCTGTGCAGAACACTATGCATCCGCTATAGGGTAAATAGCAGTTTGCGGGGTGGAGCGGTTCCCGGCCCGCTATCATTTTCCCTTCTGAAAAACCAAAATTTCCCCTTAAATTTAAAATGTTTTTTGAGGATAATTTTGTATTTTTCAATCAAATTTGAGTTGAGACACAACCCTAACCTTCCTTCACCATCGTTTCTACACTTTAGACGTTTGTTTGTTCCTTCCTCATCTCTCTCTGCACTTCATTCTTCCCTCTGCCGCCGTTCCTCCCTCTCAGCTAACTGCCATTCCTCCAAATTTAGTACTTAAGGTTGAATTTTGAGATGTAATGTTTTGATTATGACTTGTTGATGTTGATTAAGAGTTTTGATTAAGACTTGTTGGTTTTTGAGTGTTTTTTTATTAAGTCTTGTGATTTGATTTATGAATATTTTTATGTGTTTTGAGCTATTGGTTTAATTTTACATTGAATGTATGATTATAATTATTATTCATGTAATTTGTCAAAAAAATTATCAAATAGCGGTCATCCTGCTATATGCTATCTTGCCATCTCACTTTTGGGGTCGGCCGCTCCGCACCGCTATCTGGAATTGACTACTTGGTTCGAACTCTTTCTTTTGTTTCAAAATACTCCCAACAATAGAATAATCTGTCATAAACTTTTCCCTTCCCTCTTTTCCCCTTTAAAATAGGCTAAAAAAAAAAACTTTAGGGCTGTGTAGGCATTAGAATGACCTGCATAAGAGAAAAGTTTTCTTGACTGCATTTCTCACATGATTTCCACTACTAGTAAAGAAGGCAGATCAGAATTTTAAGTCCCCATATTATTAGTCTATATATGCTTTGTTCATAGCAAGATAACAAAACAATGCATATCTGTCATTACATTATGGTGCAACTGCATTAGGATACCCAAAACGGTTACTCGACACTAAGAAATGGCGTTTCTTGCTTCAGGTCGCATAGTCATGGGACTTTTTGGGACCACAGTTCCGAAAACTGCAGGTATTGCATGCTATAGTATATAAGTATATGCTAATAATGTTAATTTATACAGATAATAGTTTCATGCGAAGGTTTGGTTACTAATCTTACTAACCCTTTTGTGCAGGAAATTTCCGTGCGCTCTGTACAGGTAGCTTTGTTTAAAATTCGAGCAACTACTTCTGTTTATGGTTTATGATAGTTTTTTCCCAAAGTTAATTTGGTGATATGTTAGTATCAAATTGAACAGCATCACATTTCAGGAGAGAAAGGGGTAGGAAGAAGTGGGAAGCCGCTTCATTATAAAGGGAGCGCATTCCATAGGATAATACCAAGCTTCATGGTTCAAGGAGGTGATTTCACAAGTGGCGATGGAAGAGGCGGAGAATCAATCTATGGTGATAAGTTTGCTGATGAAAATTTCAAGCTGAAGCATACCGGGCCAGGTGACATTATGTGCTTTTGTCACTGATAATATAATTCTATTCATACATTCACATTACTTCACCTGCTCACCTTTGAATGTTTCTCAGGATACTTATCGATGGCGAATTCCGGGCAAGACACCAACGGCTCTCAGTTTTTCATAACTACAGTAAAAACCAGCTGGTAACTATCATTTACTTGTGCTACTTGTTATATTAATTTCTCAAATCTCACAATCTAACATGCTTCCATATGTTTTTTTTTTTGGGAAGGCTTGATGGACGCCACGTTGTATTCGGCAAGGTACTTTCTGGTATGGATGTTTTGTACAAGATTGAAGCAGAGGGAAGTGAAAGTGGCTCTCCCAAACGCAAAGTTGTCATATTAGACAGTGGAGAATTGACTTCATGATATGGTTTAATATAAGTAGAGACTGACTCTACTATGATAACTAGTCAGTTTTTTATCTTCTTCCATGATTTACAAACTCCTTGTGTATACTTTACCTTTAGTAAATGAACAAAATTCGGAGACAAAAAGTTCATATTTCTGTAATTTAAGGCTATGTTGTTATAGATCTATCTTTGAGTATGTGCGAGACACGACAGGATATTGCACAGACACAAAATTTTGTCATAATTAAATCCTAATTAAATAGCACCTCTTAAAATCCTTGTCATAATCCTTGTCATGGTTAAAATGTGGTTAAATAAAATCTCTAATTAATTTATTATGCCTAAACCATTTCTAATCTTTAAAGAACTTCTTTCAAATTCTTTCAAAAACTTAATACGACTCTAAGTGTCAATGGCAGCATGTCAATATAGTAAAGAACCGCCATCACAAATGCGTTTTGGGAAAAATTCTTCAAATCCTTTTTAAAACCCTTGTCTTTTTTAAGGGTATAAGTACCCCTTTTAATAGTAAAATTATGTTCTTAATAAACTTCCCAAGATGATTCTATTAAACAAGATATCACAAATTTCAGAAGATGATTGATTCATAATACTAGTTTATTGATTGATTCTCAAATACACCAGTAACAATTTGAGGTAGAACAAGTTCTACCTAGACACAACACAAGGGACCATCCATAAAAAGAGAGAGACACCTTAACACTATGTTAACTAGAAGAAGTAGAAGTTCAAGAGGGACGATACAATGCTTCATCTTCATCGTCCTTATTGTGACAGACATGACGACAAAACAAACCTCAAAACTACCATCACAACAATTGTTCAACTTCAACAACAACAAGACACACATCAACATTCAACACAACACAGTAGTACAACTACATAACAAAACAAGATGTTTATTTTTGTTATTTTCCACGCGTGTGAGAAGATCGTTGTTGTTGGTGACAAATACTCGTGAAATCAGAATTGAGATCGGAATAAAGAGAAGCAACCTTAGAGATATTTCCATTAAGTTCTTGAATCAAAGAAACGTTTTTCACCATGTTATCCGGCATTCGAGATTGTTGATTCTCGTTCACCTGCTGAATAATTGCTCTGTTCCGGTCAAGCACCGACTGAACCTGCCGGAAACTCTTGTTCAGTGTCGCCCACGCCTCGGGATCGCCGTCTTCCGCGTCCTCCACGTCGGAGTAGTCGCCGTTTGTCGGAGTGGCGGAGGGACGGCGCCGGCGTTGACTCTTCTTGGAGCGGTGGTGGTTGGAGTCTTCCATGGTGGATTTCGCGGCGGAAGAGGGTGAATAAACTGTTGTCATGTGAAGAAGAAGAAAAAAAGTTTAGTTAGAGTCAACAAAAAAATAATTATGTCTTGTTTTTGTTTTGTGACATTTCGATTTTTTTAAAAATGTTTGGTTTTGTGTGTTGAGATGTATCTAGATAGTACTATATATAGGAAAAGGGAAAATATGGTAATTATTTTCAAAAAAAATAATAGAATAGAAAATGAAGAGAAAGTGGGGGGTAGTATTGACATTTGAGGTGAAAATATCTAGGGGTTTGTTTGGATGCTAAAAGTGAAAAGTGCAATGCCACGGAGACAAAAAGAGAACCATAGTGTTGCATCCGTGGATGCTTTTATGCTCTTTTCTTTGCGATTATGAAAATATCTCATAATATCTATCACATGTCACAACTCACTATTAGCTGTTTTTGTAATTAAGTTTGACTCGATTCTCTCATATAAAAAGATCAGGCTTAATTAGATTTTTATCATTTAATTTATTATTTTTTCAATTTTATAATTAGTTGTTATTTTAAATTTATTTCTGTTTGTGAAATTAGTCATTTCAAATTAATTTTTACTTTAAATATTTAAGTTCGACCACCTTTGTTTATTTATTAATTTAAGTTAAAAGAAAACATGAATTCGATGAAAAAACTCTTCATTTGTTAAATGAGTCTTCACATTTTGTAACATATAAAAGGGACTTCTTAACACTAAGAGTCAGAGAAACAAAGTAGATAGAGACTTAAGGAAGCAATGAACTCATGATGGAAATACTCAATGATTAAATCTTTAAGACTTTGAAGCCATTTTCAACTTCTACTCGTCTCTCTTTGTATATGCTACTATAAGTATAAGTATGTGAAACTAATATCTTTTTGTGTTGTATATAGTATTTTTCTATTATATCTATGAATTATTTAAGAAGAAATTCAAGAAGATATAAATATATTTGTGTATTTGATATATGTTTTAAATATAAGCGAAAGCTCATATTAATAATATAGGATTGTAGACAAAAAAAAAAAGTTGAATAATTATATATAAAGACTAATTAAACTTAACATAATAATTACAACAACGTAAATTACAATAATTAGATAATCATAATATATTGTAACATCTCCCCTCAAATCCAATTGGGTAGAGGTGTAAACAAATTAAGTTTGGAAACTAAGGTTTGGAAGCGACGAGGAGAATGAGGTTTCGTGAACAAATCAGCATGTTGGTCAAGAGTGTCTATGGAGATAAGATGAAGTTCACCACGAAGAAGTTGTTGACGAATGAAGTGGCAATCAATTTCAATATGCTTTATATTTTCATGGAAAACATCATTTTGGGCAGTTTAAATGACATTATGATTGCCATAATTAAGATTGGTCGAGTAATGTTGAGATGTCTCTAATTCAATGGAAGTTATCAACAAGAGTACGATATTCAACTTTAGTCCCAGAGCATGATGTCAATGTTTGATTCTTGCTACACCAAGAAATAAGAGAATCTCTAATGAAAATACAAAAATTTGTGGTGGATCGACGATCACTAGGATCACCGACCTGATCAACGTCAGAGTAGGCTCTAAGAATCAATGAAGATGCAGCTGAGTATTGTAAACCATAAAACATGACACCCTTAGTATAATGAATAATCCGAAGGAAAATAACATAATGAGTTGTATGTGGAGAGACCATGAATTTACTAGATAGGTGAAAAACATATGATATATATGGTCTAGTAACTGTGAGGTAAAGCAAGCTACCCCGAGTTGCCAATAAAGATCGTCGAGTAAAGCACCATCTTGAGGAGTAAATCAAACATTGGGTCCTAGAGGAGTATTTTCAATTTTACAATCAGTGAGACATGCTCAAGAAACAAGATTAGAAACATACTTAACTTGTGAGATAAATAAGACATCACTAGACGATACGATATCAAGTCCCAAAAAGCAACTTAGTTGTCCAAGATCCTTTATCTCAAAGCTCAGACAAGAATTTCTTGATCTCTTCAATTCCAACAGAGTCGTCGTCGGTGATAATCATGCCATCAAGTAAGACAATAATATCATTGTTTGTTTTTTGAGTAAAAAGAGCAGAGTCATGAAAAATGGAAGAGAAATCAAACTGAGTGATAGTATTGTGAAATTTGGAAAACCAAGCTGTAACACCTCAAATATTATGAGAATATTTAATTTATTTAAATGAGAATATTCGCATTTTGGTGATTTTCGGTGGTTTTGTGAAATATTGGGAATTAATGGAATTTGGGTTATTTATTTTGAATAATAATATATAATATGAATATATTGATATTATTATTAATTAAAATAAATATAAGTGAAATAAAGGCAAATTGAACAATTAAGAGGAGTTAGTGAGGATAATATGGAAAAAGCCCAATTGTGAGGTCCAAGCCTAGGTTTAACAAAAAGAAAATTGTGATGGAATTAGGATTCATTTGTTATACCGTGAGGAGAATTGAGGCCAGAGCTCTGAGAAGCAAGATTGGAGGCAAAAGTTTCGGAGGATTCCCAGAAATATTTGAGAAGATTTTGATCGACAATTAAGGTATGTGAGTATTGCCTTCATGATTTTCAATGTGTAAATTCAACGTATTTAAGGTCAATTTAAGGGTTTAAGGGATTTTGGGGTTGATTGTGAGAAAAATGGATTTTGGCCTTCGTGGCCTAAATCTAGTATTGAGATGTTAACCATGGAAATTCATTGGAGTAAAAGGGAAACTAGGCCTTCGTGGCCAAAACTCTAATTTGAGATTAGTCTAACCCTGTAGGGAAATTTGATAGTGAGAATTCCGACGGTTGTGGTGTAGTGGAAAGTATTCCAGAGAGTTTGAGGGTAGATATGAGAAATAGTGATTTTTGGCCTTCGTGGCCTAAATCTATTATTAGTGAATCTAACCGTGGTTCATTGGGGAAAAAGGAAACCTTAGGCCTTCGTGACCAAAACTATGATTTGAACCTGTCTGACCCTGAAGGGATAGGAATATTAGACAGTGAGTAACTCTGATGCCTTTGAGGAAATTGTAGGGAAGTTTGTGATTTAGGGCGTAAATATGATACGAGATTGAACTTATATCCCTTAATTTTAAAGGTTTTAGGCATAATCTTAAAACAATGATTAGATGGTTTAATTGTGTTAAAATTGTAAATTTGCTTGAGATAATTATACTGTTGAATGGATTGTAATGTTATGAGAGTTTGAGTTTTTACGGAATTGAAATCGGAGGTCCGGAAGGCCTCCAACAATGAAAAACGCAGAAAATTGCATGCTGTCCGTCACGACTGTCCATGTTTTCGGTCGAAATTGTTTTGGATGTAACTTTTGATCCGTAAGTCTGTTTTGACCCCCGTTCAAAGCGTTGGAAAGTTAATGAACATGGATATAACATAGTATAAATAAGATAATTGATTGTATAATATTTTTATGAGATTAAATAAGTGATTGTATGATGATATTTCCATGAGTATTTGATGATTCTATGATGACATGATGTATGATGATGATTATTATGATGAGTTATGATGACATGATGTATGATGATGATTATTATGATGAGTTATGATGACATGACATATGATGATGATTATTATGATGAGCTATGTGTCGCTACCGCGAAAATAAGATGCCGGCAAAACAGAAGAGTCGCCACCTTTCGTTATTTATCCCTCAGAACGGGAAAGGAAACGATCGGAAAAACCTGACGGAAAGGTATAAGACAAGGTCATCGCAACCAATGTCTGGGTTCGAGAGTCGGTTACGCAAGGGGAAGGTATTAGCACTCCTCACGTCCATCGTACTCGATGGGATCCACGCTTGTTGGTATGTCTACGGGGGAAAAACAATCTATCTACGGCTTCTAGGGCTAAACGGCAAGAAACTGACTCGATAGAGCATCACGCTCTATGCCTACGTATTCTCATCAGAGAATGAGAAATCAGAGTTAACGTAATTCGAGAAACTACGGGTTACGGATGGGTGAAGGTGGCTCGCCAATACGTCAGTATTGTGCCTACGTACTCTCAACAAGTATGAGAGATCAGAGCTTACGTAGTTAAGGATGATACGGATTACGGGGATTCAGATTCATCTGTTTTTTCGAGTAGGGTTAACAAACAGTTCCCGCAGTTTGGTGTACGCAGCTCGACCCTTAGAGACTTAGGCGTTACTGTTTGCGGTAGAACTGGGAGTTAACGACACTCTTTTCTTCAGAAAAGCTTCCTTTGAATTATGGGCCCACGGGGCAAAAAAGTTTGAAGTTTGTTTTCTGTCTTTTACGGAAGAACTGTTTTTTAGTTGTCTGTAGTTTGTACAGCACTAGAGACTATGACCTGGGAACGAATGTGTCGCATATCGTCCAAAGGACGTACACTAAACATTCTAGACGATTGAGAGGAGGCCGCTCAATTATCATTACCCAAGTAGCTTAAGGCTCGTATCGCGCTTATACTAACTTGCCTTTATTACGTTTTTTACTGTTGTTTTAAGATGAGAAGAGAACAGGACAACTACGGGGAGACTATCAAGTCCTAATGTTGTCATGCCAAAGATTCATCCTATGGTTGAGGTTTGAAACAAGGAACTCCTAGAAGTTATCATGCATAGGTTTCAACCTAAAGTTATAATCATCACTTCCTTATCAAAGGAAGTGAGATTCCTAGGGGATCATGTCAATGATAAGCAGAAACAGATAAAGCATCAGCTTAAACAGTAAACAGGTATACAGTAAAATGCATGCAATGCAAGTGAGGGAGGAAATGTGTGTGGGGCATCAGCCTCCACAAGCTCGTCTCAACCTCAAGCCAGATATGAATAACTGCAAAAATAATAGAAGACAATAGAATGCCATCAAGCAAACCACAGACCACACGGGCAAGGGAGCGAAGCTCTACCGAATACCAGCAAGCAAAGCCAAACAGTAAAAATACAAGCAGAGGGAGCAACTCAACCTCTAATGCAATCATGCTCCTAGCTTACAATAATCTAAACATGAACTTATTCTAATGCATCAAGCAAA